AGCACAAGATCATGACCTGAGCTGAAGTTGGACTCCCACGTGCCCCAGAAAATCTCCTTCTTGAAATAGTTGCCCTGAAGCCAGGCTTCAGCACTTCTCTGGTCAAAAGGATCAGCAGGCCAAGACTTTCTCTTGTGTGTTTCTTTTTCTTTCTTTCTTTTTTTTTTTTTTTCAGTTTATGAGATATAATTTATATATAACATCATATAAGTTTAAGATTTACAACATAATAATCATAGTAATTTGTTGTATATATATTATGAAGTGACTACAGTAAGTTCAGCCAACATCAATCACTTCACACAGTTACAATTTTTTTGTCTTAGAATGAGAACTTTTAACATTTACTCTCCAGCAACTGACAAATATATAATACAGCACTGTTAACTATAGTCATAATGGTATGCATTATATCCCCAGAATTTGTCTTATAACTGGAAGTTTACATATTTTGACCACTTTACCCATGATCCTACTCACAGCACCTCACTTTTGGCAACAGCAAACCTGATCTCTGTTTTCACGAATCTGCTTTTTGTGGTGTTGGTTGGTTGGTTGGTTAGATTTCACATATAAGTGAGATCACACAGTATTTGCCTTACACTCTTTGACTCATTTCACTCAGGATAACCCCTCCAGTTCCGTTCATGTTATCTCAGTTGGTGAGATTTTCTTCTTTCAAGTAGCTGAACAGTATTAGATTACAGATATATGCCACATTTTACTTATTGATGGATGTTGTTGTTCTATGTCTTAGTTATTGTAAATAAGGCTGCAATGAACGGGGAGATATCTCTTTAGGACAGTGATTTCATTCCCGTTAGAGAGATACCCAGAAGAAGAATTGCTAGATGATATGGTAGTTCTTTTTAATTTTTTGAAAAGCTTCCATACTGTTTTCCATAATGACTCTACCAATTTACATTACCAACAACAATGCAGAGGAGCTTTGTTTTCTCCACATTCTCAATTCTCCTCAGCATTTCTCATGGCTTATGGTTTTGATTATAGCCATTCTTATAGGTGTGAGGTGATATCTTGTGGTTTTGGTTTGCCTTTCCCTAATAATGAATAATGGGGATCACTTTTTCACTTGCCTATTGTCCATTTGAATATTTGGCGGGGGGGGGGGGGATGTTCATTCAAGTCCTTTGTCCATTATTTAATTGAATTATTTGGGTTTGTTTGCTATTGAGTTCTATGAGTTCCTTACATATTTTGGGTAGTCACCCCTAATGAAGATATGTTTTGTTAATATTTTCTCCCATTCAATAGATTCTTTTTTCATTTGGGGGATTATTTCTTTTGCTGTGCAGAATCTTTATGGTTTGATGTAATCCCACTTATTTCCTTTTGCTTTTATTGATTCTGCTTTGTCGTCCTATCCAATCTTTGCCAAAATCCATGTAAAGTGTATTTTATCAGATATTAAGAGCCATAATTCCTTTAATTCGATTGCATGTATCATACATACATTTTTTCATATTTAATTTTCAACCATTTCATCTTTATCTATTAAATGGGGCTTTTGTAAATACCACATATTTATTTATTTATTTTTAATTTTTCAGTGTTTATTTATTTTTGAGAGGGAGAGAGTGTGTGAGCAGGGGAGGGGCAGAGAGAGAGGGGGACACAGAATCTGAAGCAGGCTCCAGGCTCTGAGCTGTCAGCACAGACAGCATGGTCAGCATGGGGCTTAAAGTCTCCAGCAGGGAGATCATGACCTGAGCCAAAGTCCGAAGCTCAACCTACTGAGCCACCCAGGCGCCCCTGGTGTTTTGTTTTGTTTTTTTAAAGCCATGTGATAATCTTTATCTTTTTACTGGAGCATCTAGAACATTCACATTTATTGATGATATATTTTATTTTTATCAGTATCATAATTTTGTGCTTTCTACTTGTCCTATTTATTCCTGGGCTTCCCCCCTTCCCTTCTAGCTTATTTTGTATTTATTCATTTTTCTCAATCCATGTTCTATTCCCTAATTTCTGAAGTTATTTTTTCCATCCTGTCAGCATTTACTCTAGAACTTAATGCATGCATACTCAGATTATCAATGTCTGAAACTGATCATTATCTTTATACTCTTCCAAAACAATGTAAGACCCAAGAACAGTCTATGGTCTCCCAAATTATATGCTTTAGCTATGAAGTTTAGATCTATTTATCACAGATGAGGGCAGGGACCCTGTGGTTACTGTGGTATGAATATATCAGAACATACATTAGCTGAAAATAAAATTTCACGTATGCACACTATGTTTTTTTTTCCAGTGACCAAAATAAAATATGTTCAACAGTAACACAAAAATGGAAAACCACATACGTAAACCAAAAATCTATCAAGTTAGTCACTTAAATATTATTACATTACAATCTTAAATTACCAGGTTAAGCACTTATTATTGTATTAGAAACACATGCATAACATTTATTTTCTATAAAATGTAATATAGAATCATATTATGAAATATTTTGTGCCTCTTCCCCACTTACTATATTATGGAATATTGTCCATATCAGTTACTGCAGAATTCTCTCATTTATATTTAATGACTATAAGCTTTACTGTAAAAATACATTATAATTTATTTAATTATTTAATTTATTGATAGTCAAGTTATTCCTTTTACTTTTTTAAACAAACCTACGTTGGCCACTTGAATAATTAGAGAGCTATGAATAATTACGTTAACAGTAGTTAGATTGCGGAAACAGGGTTGTGTATTATTTTGTTTTTTTTAATTTCTTAAACATTTTTTTAATGTTTATTTATTTGTTTTGAGAGAGAGCGAGAGAGAGCCAGCATGAGTGGGGGAGGGGCAGAGAGCGTGGAGAGGGAAAACTCCAGGCAGGCTCCACACTGTTCAGTGCAGAGCCCCATGCTGGTCTCAAACTCACGAACCATGAGATCATGACCTGAGGTCAAAGTCAGACACTTAACCCACTGAGCCAGTCCAGGCGTCCATCATTTTCATTTTCTAGGGGATATGTTCTAATATCTTTTTCAATTATTTACAATGAGAATGGATACGTATAACCATAAAAAAGGTATTTCTAAAAATCAGTGTCTGTTACAATTGTATTCAAATACAATATATCACTTACTCACATAAATGTTTTAGTCTTTATTGTTTATCCATTGTTTTTGAAAAATAAGGCAGAGAAGAAATTATTATGGTTGATAGAATTTTAAACATTATCTTTGGGAATAAAGAAGTGCTTCACAATACAAATAATAATAAAATAATTTAAAAGAATAAAATTACAAGGAAGTGCTTCATTATGCATAGAAGAATAACAAATTTAATCCATGGGGACTGGATTACACTGCCTTTATTTTCTCAAGTGGAGAAAGTAGTTTACATATTAAGCTTTGAGTAAACATCCTGTTTGATGATGCAATATTAAGAGATCTGTTTTCTGGATTCTGTCTCATTCTAACCCTCTGCTCATCATCTGACCCATGCAATCTAATCTAAACTATGGAACCAGAGACATCGGCACAGTCCAGCCCCTGTCTTGGTGAAGATCATCCTTGGCCACTGGACTTTGATGAAATAAATACAGGTAAAATCAGATATGGCTGTTATTGCTAAGTAATCCCTTTATTTAATGAGAAAGTAATACTATAAACAACAAAGTTCCTAGCCAGAGACTTTCAGATGAAGTGTTGAAAATCTTTCTCTATATGAATCAACTTCAGATTTTCTAATTGGAGATGATTTAAATTTCAGACAATCATCATTTAGTAAGTCAATATTTGCTAGGGGGTGAGAGGTAGAAAAATGTTACTGACTTGGTGGCTGGTGCACTGAAGGAGTACACGCAATATACTGCTAAGAGAATTCATCTCCTTAGTGAGAATTAGATGAGTTTTTTTTCATGCTCTTTTCATTAAGATTAAACGCAAGTATAGAAAGGGGCAAGATAGACATTTCAATTAAGTTTTATATTTCTACCGTAGCTTCTGCAACCAGTGTTACTCCTGATGCTACTGCCCATTATATTCTTACTATTACGACTTCTACAATAAGACCTATTAAATGATTATTGTTCTAGACACTATGCTATTGACTTTATATACACTAACTTAATCTCTGCAATATACCTGTGAATGAATACTGCTGTTAGCCTTATTTTATAAAGAAACTAAGACATAACAAAGGAAAAAGAACTTGTCATAGCTCACAAAGCAGTTAAACGATTGAGCCAATTTTAAAACTTTCTACTAAGCATAAAACAGGGCAAATTTTGTTAATAATTTTTGGCATATTTTCAGCTATATGTTTACATACAAACAGTCTTTATGCATTTTTCTTGCATATTTTCTAGGGTTTTGTGACCAAAGTGTAATTTACTCAGATGTCAAAGCTTATAGACCTTCACATGTTGAGAAGAGAAAAACAACTAGGAATTTGAAGACAAATGGAAAAAAAAAAACAAAAAAAAAAAAACCATTTAAAATTCTAGATTTTCTTTTTTGCTTGAATATTTTAATGAATCAATCATAAAACAAATCATCCTGGACAAACCTCTGAATCAGAATTCATCTCTCACATCAACACCTTTTAAATGGTCCTAGTGACCAGAAGTGTTACATTAAACAATAAAGGACCAATGATGACCACAAAGGCTTAGAATGATGTACCATAGCCATAGAATATATATCTTCCCGATTTTCTTGCAGTGTCCCTTTTATAGTATTTCTATAAACAAAATAGAGCTTGTGAGATATCTCCGTCCAGGCCAACAGCTAACGTAGGAGTTTTATTCTTAACCTTGTTCTACTACAAAGGGAAAGAAGTCATTTTTTAAAAACTTTGGGTAGGGAGGCGCCTGGATTTCTCACTCGGTTAAGTGCCAGACTCTTGATCTCAGCTCATGTCTTGATCTCGGATCCTAAGTTCAAGACTTACGTTGGGGCAAAAATAAATTTAAAATATAAAATATAAATAAATATAAAAAATAAAATTGGGGTGGGTGATGAATAAAATCCCTAGTAGGATTTGTGAAGTACTCTTCCGTAGTCTTTAAAAGACTTCTTTAATAGTGCAACTTGTTAGTCCACAACTCGTTCTTACATAAATATACATACATACATACATACATACATACATAAATTCCTTGCTGTACCCAAATCTGCAAAATAATTTGGGGAGGTCCCCTCTCAGGCTGGGAAATAGTTTTCCACAATGCGGTGCTCTTATAAACTTCAATTTCAGTCCAAGTCAAGTGAATTGAATATTCCTGACCAAAATTCTTGCTGGTTCCAGAATCTTGTTTCCATTGATCATCATAGTAGCTTACTTCTCTCTCTTTGGACAGAGACTACATGGTGCCTTGTTGCAATGTTATTTGTCTTCATTTATTTAATTTTTCTGGTATTAGCTGCGGTGATGACAGCTAAGGGTAAGTATGTTTCAGAATCATTTTTATTAATTTGTTTGAAATTATTAGAATATAATTTTTAAAGGCCTTTAAACTGATGGCAAGAATTTCCTGAAGGTATTTTACTATGTTGTATATTTTAATATATAAGAGTATTTTATCAATTCAGTAATTTATTGAATTATCAATAGCAAAGGCCCAAGTGATCTTATCAAAGATGTCAGGGGATAGCTGGGTATTTTAATAAGAATGGGAAATAATAGCATCATTCTGCTAATGTTTAGATTATTATAGTCTTCATATTGTTATTGACATTAGATTCACCAACTGTGAGATGTAATAAAAAGTGAAAATAGCTATAGAATTTACCTGTCAAGGCAATTAAAAATGAACTGTAAGGGCATCAGGTCAAGTAATTTGAAAGAGAATTTAACATAGGAAAGAAATGGTACACACCTACAATGGTGTGTAGGTATTCATCAAAAAATAAAGCAAAATGATCAGGATATTGGGCTGAGCTTACACATTTTTTGAAGTCAATGTCATTACATTATTATATATATATATAGCTTTTAAATATATATATATTATATATGTATCTTTTAAAAGAGTAAATCTATACAACAGTACTGCTAGCAGACCAGAAATGTGAAAATTTTAATCAAATTAGGAAATAAAATAAATTAGATTTAAGTTAGAGAAAACAACAACTCAAAATGCCTATCAAATACATTTATTCAAAAACCATAATTACATCAAAAGCAATTATAATCTCAAAGTGAATTGTTTCAGAATAGAGCAGAATGTATACTTTTTGATAATAAACATTTAAAAACTTGTCTAAATGTACCATTTGCTGCAAAAACACATGGTGATAAAAAGACTCAAGACAATGTAGAGGAACTGAATAAAATAACTATATTCTAGAACTATATTCTATGTTCTATGGGTAAATAAATTAATCAAAGATGTACCTCCAAATAGATACCTGACTGATAATTTTCTAAGGATGAACTTGAAAATAATCTTAGTAACTAATCTGACTTCTAAACAAAGTGCTTGTAAACTAGCAAAAAAGAAAATTTTCACCCAAATTAGGAAGAGAAGCATAGCACATTCAGGAAGATATTTTAGGACAGTACCCTTTACAAACATAGAAGGAAAATCCTACATACAACAGCTAACATAGTACATTATTATACTAAAAGGATGCTACGCAGTGACCAAATTCTGGTTAAAATCAGGGATGGGTTTGTACATTTATCAAAAGATTTGTCATATTGAGGAGAAAAAGAAATAACTACAAGTAGAAGGGATTATATTTAACTTGGTTTATAAGGATCTTTAGCAAATAACATTTTTCAGAACAAGAAATTAGACTTATTTGCAATAGAATCGGGAAGACAAGCATGACTGATAGAACTACTATTGCTCAACATTTCTCTGGATGTCCTGGCAAAAGAAGACCAATCATGCAGAAACACCTATTTAGGTATAATGTAAATGTTACCAATTAAATACCAAAATTATCTGCAGATGATGTGTTTTCTTGCCCCGATACTACAAGAAAATCCATTGACAAAAATCACAATAAAAGAACACTTCAATGAGGAAACTTGATACAACGTTAACGTAGTGTTACCGTGTATACCAGCAAGAGTTAACATCCACTGTCTTGGTCCTTATTTAAATCTCTTTCTATCATTTCTTCTGAGGTATCTTTTTTAAAATAGCCTACCACGGGGCACCTGGGTGGCTCAGTCCGTTAAGCGTCCAACTTCGGCTCAGGTCATGATCTCACAGTTCGTGAGTTCGAGCCCTGCGTCGGGCTCTGTGCTGACAGCTCAGAGCCTGGAGCCTGCTTCACATTCTGTGTCTCCCTCTCTCTCTGCCCCTTCCCTGTTCATGCTGTGTCTCTCTCTGTCTCAAAAATAAATAAATATTTAAAAAATTTTTTTTAATAAAATAAATAAATAAATAAAATAGCCTACCACACTATATTTCCAAACAGGCTCTATCTTCCCAGCCTTGATTCTTACCAACGTCAAGGAAAAAGTCAGATGCTTTACTATTGTTGGCCTTTCTCAGCACTCAATGTTAATTATCTCAACTTAGTGAATTACACACTTGTCTACAATGGCATCACTACCTATCTCACCCAAAACTACCTCTGTCTCCCTCACTCCCTCTCCCTCCTCTCTTTCTACATTACTAGCCCCCAAGCGATCTAACCACATTCACTCATGACTTCTTCTAATTTCCAGAGTAACTTCCTCAAAATGTAAGTTTTATAAACTCATCCTATTTTTACTGTTAGCTTCTTAAAACCTTAAGTGCAATATAATTGAAAAACCCTTAACCTGGTTTATAAAGTCCTTTCTTACTCTATCCGTGGATCTCTACCCCAGCGAGTACCACATACTTTCTCACTCTCTAGGCTCCACAGTTCACTAAATGACTCCTGATTGAAGTTATCATCATACAGATAGGGATAATTTTAAGAATGGGAGCAGATGCTGTTAATAATTATTCTGGGACAACAAACATGAATCAGGACTTCTCTGGGCAAATTGATATGAATTGTAACTTTATCCAAGATCCCTCCGATTACAGAGGATATGCATAAACTATTCCATTTTATCTTAAGCCCCCTTACTGCTACAGGTCGGTTTTTTGGGGGAGGAGGGGGGCAGGCGGGGAGGGGGTAATCCAAGAGTAACCAATTATCTCAGAATAATAAATTTTCTTTTATAATTAAGCCAACTTTATTACAGTGTCTTAAATACCACTCATTAGTAGCATCTTTCATAGTCTTACCTGTATATCTGTGTGGTTATTTATTCAACGTCTCTTTCCTACTAGATTGTTAGCTTCAGTAGAACAGAGCTCATGTCTGTATTTTCTCTACATTTTATCCTTTGCTTTTGAGTACTATGTTAACACATTATAGGTACTTAGTGAATATTTCTGATTAAATAAATCCATACACCTAAAAATGTATATGGCTTATATGAAAGAGATTATACCACTTCATTAAAAAGCATAAAGACTGTTTCCGATTCTGTGTCTCCCTCTCTCTCTCTGCCCCTCCCCTGTTCATGCTCTGTCTCTCTCTGTCCCAAAAATAAATAAACGTTGAAAAAAAAAATTTAAAAAAAAAGCATAAAGAAAAGCATTAGTAAATGTACCTTTGTAGGAAGACTAATACTGTGAAGATGATAATACTCTCCTAAATTCATCTAAGATTTATGTGATTCCAATGCAAGTATATTTTCATGATAAATAAATTAATTATAAATTATACGTAGAAGCAAAAATGTATGAGGTTAACACAATACATACTGAAATATATTGGCAAGAGAAGCGTGTATCTAGCCTTGTCAGGTGTCAAACGAGTCTATAAAGCTATAAAGTCTAAGTAACATTATAGTACTAGTAAAAAAAAAATAAATATATCAAAATAAGAAAAAACAACCTAATAATAAAATCATATGCATGATAGTATCTGTGGTATATATCCATGGAATATAGTAGGCTCTTCAAATGACAGATGTTAAATAACAATAGGTTTGGGTTAATATATGGACAGCGAACACTATCATACCCATTTGATGTATCAAATTATCAAGCTTCTTTAAAAAACTAAGGATGAATTATATGTATATACATACAAATACACACACATATATAAATTCACATAAGAAGCCAGAAATATAATCATCTGTTAATATGGAAACAATTGTTACTATAAAAGTGAGCAATAACCTGTTAATATGGAAGATGGTAACATAAAGAGTATTTAGACATGAAAATAATTTGAAAACAACCAGAAGGATATATATAAAGCTATTTACAGCAATTCTCTTTGCTGAAGTAAGTGGCATTGGAGGGACTACGAAAGGGAATCTGCTCTACTTTTTACAGTGTATACACCCTTTTTTGTCAAAAAAATAAATTCACGTGTTATTTGTGTAAAAGAGAAAATAATTTTAAAAAAGCATTATATTCTAGAAATAAAGAAGCTGTATTTGTATATGGTAGACCTAGTAGTAAATATCAAAATAAAGTATAACCTACGATTCTGATGGGTACTCCTGTATGAGACTGTACTGTTACAGCCTATTTTAAAATTATCACTAAGTACAGAAGACTAGTTTATTGCGAGGACCAAGCTGTGCTTTGTATCAATTACACATAGAATTTTGATTACCACACCCTGGAAAAGTCATGAGAACACCAATATAATTTACGTATGGAATACTTGTGAATGAAATAAATAAAATAAATTGGTGAAGTCTCCTAGAAATCACAAGCTTTTTCTTCTGTTTTACTATTAGCAAACTTTGTCTTAATAAGACAGAAGAGAGAAGCAGCTGAACCAGTAAAAGCATTTTCTTATGTCAAATAGCTAATCTTATCCGTGAATTACCCATCAGAAGGAAGATCTTCCTGGGTATTAAGGCTTTAGTATAAATGAACAAGGCAGGAATAAACATACGACAGAAATAGAGGGGAAGCTTTGCAAACAAACAAGAAGGTGCTTGGCAGAAAATTTAGTTAAGCATGGTTTGCTTATTCAATGATATGTTAAAATTTAGCTTTATCGTGTGACTTCTCATTTTAAACAAGATAGAAAAGCTGTAGGTCTGTATTCAACGAACATCAAATCAGTGATTAGCAGCATCCTTCACAGGAGAATATGTTTAAAATATGGAATAATCCAGTTCAGGAAACAAATGTGGAAGACGGAAGTTTGAGGGAATGGAAAGCTGATGCTAATGCTTTCTTCTTTACCATTAGTACAACAAAAACACTCAACTTCAATGCTCTACGTGGTATGATGACGGAATGACCCAATAATATTTATTACATTGATTCCCATGAGTCCAGCAATACTTTTGGGATTCAGGCTGGAGTGATACGGTCCAGAGAACTTAAAGTCATGGTGATATGAGTCTGCGCTGGACCAAGTCGAAATCCTATGTCCAACACGCTTCATGATTTTGTAACTGAACTGGGATCAAATCTTGGTAAAGCAGGCATGCAGAAAGATTTTCTCTACAATATGTGTGAAGTTTTCAAAATCTCTTAGAAGTAACCATAAGCCATTCAGACTAAAATGAATTTAAGCTAGGAACATTCCATTCACTCATTATTTTTTTTTTAAGTTTATTTATTTATTTTGAGGGAGAGAGAGAGAGAAAGGCGGGGAGGGGCATAGGGAGAGGAGAGAGAATCCCAAGCAGGTTCCACGCTGTCAGGGTGGACAGGGGACTCAATTTCAGAACCTTGAAATCATGACCTGAGCCAAGATCAAGAGTCAGATACTTGAGGTGGAGATAGAGACAGTGTGGAATATTATAATAGCTCAATATAAAAATAATGAAAATCTGGGGGCGGCTGGGTGGCGCAGTCGGTTAAGCGTCCGACTTCAGCCAGGTCACGATCTCGCGGTCCGTGAGTTCGAGCCCCGCGTCAGGCTCTGGGCTGATGGCTCAGAGCCTGGAGCCTGTTTCCGATTCTGTGTCTCCCTCTCTCTCTGCCCCTCCCCCGTTCATGCTCTGTCTCTCTCTGTCCCAAAAATAAATAAAAAACGTTGAAAAAAAATAAAATAAAAAAAATAATGAAAATCTGAATAGGAAAAAAGATTATTGTACGGCAAAGAAGAGAACAGCTATATAGAGAGCAATGGAGAGCGAGAATAGACAGTACTTTGTGATTGACAGGATATGTACCATGTCAAAGGTGTTTGCTTTGACCACGGCTTAGTCATTGCATCCTGACTGTCCAGGTTTGTTAACTGCTTAGAATGGCATCAATCCGACGTCCAAACTTACAATTATCAAAGCACCAGTCTGTTAACTCAGAAATATCTGTTAAAAGAAAAAGTTCATACTTAAAAACAAAAAGTTTACTTACCTACTTGAGAGGGAGAGAGCAAGCCTGAGCAGGGGAGGAGCAGAAACAGAGAATTCCAAGCAGGCTCCACGCTATAAGCGAACAGCCAGAGGCAAGGCTCCATCTCAGGAACTGCAAGACCGTGACGTGAGCCGACCTCAAGTCAGTTGCTTACCTAACTGAGCCACCCAGGCACCCCTAAAAGTCCATACTTTAGTATCAGTTACTTGCTGATGATAATTTACAATTCATTCCTCAGCTGGCCATAAAAAATGAATAGAGAAGTTGTATTGAAGACATTTTAGGTTTCTTGTGCATTCGCGACCCTGTTTGAAAATGATAATAGTCTTAAAATATATTTTCCTTTGCCAATTTTATGAATTTCAGCTCGTTGTCTGGAAGAGGTTCTGATATCATATGAAAATGAAACTGCACATTGTAAAGTCATATAGCAAAGCAGAGGTATGTATGTATCGGATTGCAATGGGAATCTTGGCATCACATAGAGCTGTTTAAATCTAGATGTACGTGCACAATTAATAAACATCAGATCAAAGTTAGATCGCTATGGCGTACTTATCAGAAAAAAAAAATCTCCGCTAACTCTTGAAATTAAGGAAGATAGTTGAAAACAATAATGCAAAAATTACAATCCATTCAGCGAGCATGCGTGATAATGTTATCTTCGTGCGTGTATTTTTTGCTTGTCAAGGTAACTGGTCTTTCTCTGAAGACAACTGGTATTTTACTTCTGCTGAAAATACCATCTTGGCAGCAGGGAAATTGTTCTGGAACATTGAGCGCCAATCTTATCGAGACAAATAGCAAGGGAGAGGCGGAAATGTATGGCATGATATTCATTCCCATGTTTTCTTAAGCAGAAGATAACTATAAATAGACTTTTTAATATCTTTTGTTCTTTCAAGCATGCCAGACTCAACATATTATAAGCGGAGATCTCAATCAAACTGAAAACATTAAAAAATGGACTGAAGATGGTTCTGTGATTTTAAAACTTTAAATATATTTGCATATCAAACTATGTACTGATGTACAAAAATTATTTAGTAAATAAAGGGGTGGAGGGGATCACATAAGACATACAAACTAAAGGGAGTCTGCTCAGAAATAGCTCATATTTATTGATTGCTCCTACTATTCCTGGTAATAGTTGAGTGATTACATGTATTAAAGCATATACTGCCCCAATAATCCTAGGAGACAGTGCTATCATTGATGTTGTCATATTAATGAGGCCCAGAGAGGATGAGAAAAATTTCCAAGATTATGTCGCAAGTACGAATTAGAAGCAAGATGTAAGCCATGAAAGTTTTACTCTGGAGATCATGAGCATTATCATTAGGCGATGCTAACCCCGGAACGGTAAATCATATTGAAGCAAGTTGGAAGACTATCACTTTTGTTGGCAACAGGCAGAGTCGCTCAAACAAGCAGATTTACATTTTTCTCCCCTGTATGTTATCTTTCAGAAAGGAACAAATAAGAAAAAGAACTTTCAAGAATAAAATATCATAACAGCTGCTCATGAGGAGTGACATCTTCAGGCTAATTATTCTTTGGAATTTTGAAGACAAAAGGGCTCGTAGAAGAGATTCTCCCTCTAGTAGACTCTAGCGAACCTAAAGAATACAGGTCTCCTTCATTTTTTATTCTCCTCTAATATGCTGTTGTTGCCTTTACATCGTGTCTCCTTTTGCCCTGGCTTCAAGTTGTTACTGCCTTTAATAAAGACTTCAATCGATATCTGTGGTGGTAAATTTGTGGCCTACACGCGGACAGTTTCTTTTTTAATTTTTTTTCCTAATGTTTATTTATTTTTGAGACAGAGAGAGACAGAGCATGAACGGGGGAGGGTCAGAGAGAGAGGGAGACACAGACTCTGAAGCGGGCTCCAGGCTCTGAGCTGTCAGCACAGAGCCTGACGCGGGGCTCGAACTCATGGACCGTGAGATCATGACCTGAGCCGAAGTCGGAAGCTTAACTGACTGAGCCACCCAGGCCCCCCACGCTGACAGTTTCTATACGGTGCTCTTGGAAGGCACTCTCAGAATTGTAACACTCTTCCCTCCTGAGGCTGAACTCGACTTTGAGTGATTTTGGACAAGGCACACCTGGAAGCCTTCCCCAAGGGCATGGCTCTCCCCTCCTCCACACACCATGCTTTACACCAAACGTGTATATGCAGATCATCAGCGCATCTTTTAGGAAAAGCATGTAAAACCAAACGTATGTAGATTAATGAGTTTGCTAAGGTAATGTCTCCTAATGGTCTATTGCCTCACAGTTTGCTTTTTGTAAATCACAGTTTACCCGTAACTTAGCGTGGAAGAGATCACATCTGGGAATGTTCCAGAACTGACAGAGGCCATCAAGTGACATACGGACAAAGCCTAATGAACCTCAGGAGGGTGAACAAAGTGAAAACCGAGTTATGTGTATCATGTGAATTCCTGAAAACCAAAACCAGGGAAAAGAAGTTGAAAGGCAGCCAGAGAAGAACAGAATTTACCTTCAAACGAGCAATTGATCACTAACCTATAAAAAGACAAAGAAAACATGAAAGCCATATATTTACTAAAAGACAATTGTCATACTAAAATTATATTCCTAGAGAAAATACGTTAAATATATAAGAATCATACGAGTGTTGGTGTGCCTGGGTGTCTCAGTTGGTTAAGCGTCTAACTTCAGCTCAGGTCATGATCTCACAGTCCGTGAGTTCAAGCCCCGTGTCAGGCTCTGTGCTGACAGCTCAGAGCCTGAAGCCTGCTTCAGATTCTGTGACTCCTTCTCTCTCTGCCCCTCCCCTGCCATGCTCTCTCTCTCTCTCTCTCTCTCAAAAATAAATAAACATTTAAAAAAAAGAATCATATGAGCGCATAATCATATTTCATAGGTGAAAAGAAGATAATTAAAGATACATAGAGAAAAAAAGAATTTATTACCCTAGGTCTGCACTAAGGATATAAACTATAATGTTCGTTAGGTGTAAGAAAATTATTCCAAATGGAACCTCAAAGATTCAAGATAAAGGCCAATGAAATAGGTTCATGTGGGTATAGGTCAAAACAGTGATTATATAAAACCATAATATTAAAGTCTATGGTTTAAAATTGTGTAAAATTACAGTACACTGTATGTGTAGCAATTAAACCAAAAGGGGGATAAAAAGAGTTGAAAGGCCCTAAGTTTATTACAATGTCCAGGAAGAGGTAAAGCAACTATTTATATTGGACATTAATAAGCCAAGGACGCATGTTGGGATTTTCAGGATAACCACTAGAACAACAAAATGTTATGTAACTATGAATATAGTGAAGGAATATATCTCAATTAATGGAATAATAATTTAATGGAATAACTTCATTAGAATTATATTCAGTGAAGTCAGTAAAGGAAGAGATTTTTCATATGATTAATATTAGATTCATATCAGATTAATGTTTCTGATACACTTTTAGACAAAGATGCAGGAGTTCAAACAAGAACTTCAGCCTTATTTCTTGGGTCCTTTCAGGATATCCAGTGGCCCATAGAGTACTGAGGGTGGATATTGGAGAATGAGAATGAATGATGCCAAATGTTAAACTGAAAGCATCTTCAAGGGCCTCTGAGTCACAATTTTCTTATGTTTCCCTTTTGTTGTCAACTAGTCTGGCTCACAGACTGTTTATTTACCTCTGTTCATGGGGCCTTTTCCTGAAAACTATTTAGGTTTCCTTGACTTCTTTATAGTTCTTACTGAATCACTTATCCCAGGGCACTCTGAGATATTTTATATGTATATAATATATATATATGGTTTGGTAACCCATGACATTCTTTGCAATCTCTTTTTCTAGAAAAATAGTCATGTGGTTTTGTGAGGAAACCATATTAAGAAGCTTCATCTTTATGCTATTCAGTCTCAACTGAAGGCCTAAAATAAATTTCAAAGGTTTCTTTTGCCCTGTTGCCTCCCCTTGAGACATATCTGTTTCTGCAAAGTCTAGTTTGTCTCCATGTGGAAGGTAGTACAGTAAAACCTTGGATTGCGAGGAACCTGTGCTGTGAATGTTCTGCAAGACGAGCAAACATTTCTAATCAATTTTACTTGATCAACAAGCAATGTCTTGTAATGCAAGTAGCATGTAATGCCAAATGTCACATGATCACAACTGAGCCAATGGTTCTTGAAATTGGCTTTGCTATACAAGGCTTTGAATCACAAGCATGTTTCTGGAATGAATTAGGCTCGCAAACCAAGGTCTTACTGTAATTGATTCTTCCAACCGTTTCAATAGCTGATATTTCAAGCGTATTTATTACCTCACTTTCTATTTTCAATAAATCCACTGCACCAGGATTCTGTAGTCCCCAGAGATAATCCCCATTATCACTTTATCATCAACTGTCTTATTTAGGCTGAATCTTCCCACCATTGTTTCCTCAAAAGAAGATGCTTCTCACCCCAAAGTGGCTGGACACAATTTGCTCCACTTTCAAAAGGTTATTATCTTGGGAAAGAGTAGTTTATGTCCAGTAATGGGGACAAACTGTCTAGTGATAGGACAAATATCACAAATGACACATGAAACCAGGCACAAGAAAACCAAGGGTAACACATGGTACCACAGACTTTGGCCAGACCAAAGAAAGATGAGCTTGGGCTGAGCATAACTGAACACACTATTGACTGCATAGCAGGGAAGGACTCCTGATTTCCTCAGGATTCATATGTTTATAGAGGCAATGAGCATGTCAGGGACCATCTACCTGAGCTAAATTCACTAAGTCATCCAGCAAGTTAATAAGTTTGTCTCTCTACAGCCATAAAAATACTTGTAATGTAAGGTAGAGGAAGTGAAGATTTAAAAAGTATTTTGGTGACAGATACAAAACATATACCTCATAAAAAATGGGAAAGAGTTGGAGTGATGTCAACAAAATAGCAAGCTAGAAAGTTCCAGGCTCTTGTTTTCCCCATAAAAATAAATGAAAAAGAATGGTTATAGACTGGCTAAAATAACTTTGTAGGTGCTCTGGGAAACAGTCAAAGATCCACAGCCGCCAACAGAATGTCCAATCAAGGAAAAGCCACATTCAAACCAGTAGGAAATTTTGTCCCCCAGTCTCCCTGACATGGCACGGCCTTGGTCTGGTGGAGATGGCAACCGAGATGTCGAGCTCAAAATTTGAACCCTTGGACTGCACAGTGGTTCAGTCAGTTGAGCATCTGACACTTGATTTCAGCTTAGGTCATAATCCCAGGATCATAGGATCGAGCCCCTCATCGGGCTCCATTCTGTGTGTGGAGTCTGCTTGGGATTCTCTCTCTCTCCCTCTCTGCCTCTTCCCCACTCATGTTCTCTCTCTCTCTCTCTCTCTCTCTCTCTCTCTCTCTCTCTTTCTTTCTCAAAATAAATAAATAAATATTGAAAAGGCAAAAAGAAAGAAAGAAAGAAAGTGAGAGGAAGGAAGGAAGAGAGAGAAAGGAAGGAAGGAAGGAAGGAAGGAAGGGAGGGAGGGAGATGGACAAGAGATAGAAAGCATTGGCAAAGATATGGAGGACTTTGTTGGTGCACTGTTGGTGGGAATATAAATTGGTGCAGCCATTGTGGAAAACACTACGGAGTTTACTTTAAAAATTAAACATAAAACTATCAGGTGATCTATCAATTCCATTTCTGAGTATATATGTGAAGGAAATGAAATCACTACCTCAAAGAGATATATATATACAATGTGTGTGTGTATGTGTGTGTGTATATATATATATATATATATACACACATACACATACATGGTATAGACCATACAATGAAATATTGTTCAGCCTTTAAAATTTTTTTAATGTTTACTTATTTGGTGGGGCGTGATGGTCAGATAGAGAGGGAGACACAGAATCCAAAGCAGGCTCCAGACTCTGAGCTGTCAGCACAGAACCTGACTTGGAGCTCAAACTCATGAACCACGAAATCATGATCTGAGCTGAAGTCAGATGCTTAACCGACTGAGCCACCCAGGCACCCTCACTGTTCAGCCTTTGAAAAGGAGGAAATCTTGCCATACTCAAAAGCATGGATGAACCTGGAAGACATTGTGCTAAGGGAAGTAAGCAAGACACAAAAGGACAAATACCGCATCATTCCACTGATATAAGGCACATAAGAGTCAAGCTCATAGAAACAGAGAGTAGAATGGTAGTCACCAAGGGCTTCACGGAGGGACAGATGGCGAGTTGCTATTCAACAGGTATGAGGTTTTAGTCACGCAATAAGAATAAGACACAGAGATCCGCTGCACGACATTGTGCTATAGCTTAAACCTTGTCCAGAGGGTAGATATCACGCTAAGTGTTCTTACCACAATAAAAAATATGAAGTAAAATAAAAATTTCCAGAGAAATTAAAAAAAGGATTGTGGAGGGGCACCTGGGTGGCTCACTGAGTTAAGTGTCTGACTTCCGTTCAGGTCATGATCTCGCACTCCGTGAGTTTGAGCCCCACGTCGGGCTCTGTGCTGACAGCTCAGAGCCTGGAGCCTGCTTTGGATTCTGTGTCTCCCTCTCTCTGCTCCTTCGCCTCTCATGCTCTGTCTTTCTCTCTCTCAAAAATAAATAAACATTAAAAAAAATAATTAAAAAAAAGGATTGTGGCATTGTGGGTAAGGAATGAGTGGACTTGTAGCTCTCATTCAGCATACGGAATAAAGTATTCTTAATTCTTTCTTTATAATACATGAAAAGTAAAAGTGGCTACA